GATATAACAAGTTTGATTATTTAGTGAGTCTTTCAACTATTTAAAAATTCGTAATTAGACCCCTACATTTAATGGAATTCCAACGGAATCTTGACAGAAAAGTGGTAAAAAAATAATTAAAAATTTTGGAAAATGAATTATAAACTTTTAATTTACAAGAATTTATTTACAACTTTTTTAAAGAATTCAGTAACCTATGGAGTAATTTTAATAAAAAAAATTATAAGTTTTTCTTAATAGAGAATGAAACATACAAATGTTTTATAATCTATTTAATTATATAAGCCCTATTTTATGTGTACATTACTTGGTCTAACCAATGCTTTTGTTTATTGTGAAAACATTTCACTTTAACTATTTATGAGTAAGTTCTCCTTCTATTAATGGAAATGAAGTATGATTCTAGATGACATGTAGATTTAGAAATTTAAATTTAGAAGTTGTCATTTTAAAAAAAACTACATGTAATGTTAGAATTTTAAGTTACGAAGCTGGAATTTTAACAAACCTTTACATATTAGGAGATCTTTTTTATGTGCATTGACCATGTCCTTGAAAAGAGTTACTAAGTCATGTGTTAATTTATTGAGTAAAAGAAGTATGGCTGCTTTAAATATAACTGAGAGCCAATGCAGAGATTTCAACTCATGCGTATACTAGTCTAATGTGTCCAGATTTCAACCCATGAAGACATATTCTAACAACAATGAAGTATGACATGTATGTTATCTTCTAATTTTTGCAATTATATATATATATATATATATATATGATCAATTTAAAAATTTTGAACGTTCTAACAATGCTACATAACTTTTTTGTTTGCATAATAACTATATTAATCATAAATTTTAACGGTTAATAAAATTTATTCTCATATTAAAAAATCTCATTTGATGCGCTCTCTCTTTTTTTCTCTCTCTCTCTCTATGTATATTACCATTAGTTACTCCTCAAACTTTTGTTGCGTAAAAAGTTAACTTGTACTTTTAAGAAAGTTAAAGAGTTAGATACTTCGATACAAGAAGATGATGCATGAGTGGAAAAGTAAGCTTGAGTTAAATAATTATGGGGCTTTTGTAATGTTCACGAAAAAGAACAAGAATTGTGTTGTAAAGTATAATAACCACAATAGGATATAGATATTTATATACCGTTTATGGCAATTATTGTATGTCGACCGATACTTAATCATTTCTTTTAAAACTCTATTTAATTTTAAAAAAACAATAAAATATCACATAAAATTTATCACTAAACGAGTGATTAAGACAATCATTCTACAATGACTTGTGTAAGTTACTGAAAAACAAAAAAGAACCTGTGCAGTATATAGCCGTGATATACTATTTTGGCTTAAATAAAGTTATAATTCTTTAATAATTTTTAATATGTTATTTTTTATTTAATTTAATTTTTCAAAAATTATTCTTATTTTTATTGAGTCCTTTTTTAGTTTACTAATTCTGTTATTTGATACTTATAATTAAGGTTAAAATTTTAAAAATTTTTAAAATAAGGTTATTATTCATCTTAACTTCAAGTTATATTTTTATAAGTCAAGTTATATACCACATATTTAACTACATTATGGTTTACTTCAACTTCGTCACATTTAACAAAAAAAAAAAATTAATAAATCATCAATAAAAAGTTTTATAAGAATAAAAAAATTAATGGACTTGTCTAATGAAAAAAAATCAAATGAGAAAAACATGATTTAAACCTAAACTTAATTAAGCCAGTTATTGTTATCTAAATCTTAATACTTTCTTGTTTGAAATGCATCAGGCTACACGATTTAACTCAAGTGATCTGGCTTGATAGTGAACGCAGATGTGTTCTTTTATCTTAACCTTTCGATTTTCAACCTTGAACAAGTAAATAGAGAAATTGAGTCATATAGAGTGAGCCCTAATTACCCAATAAACACGTTTATTCTCACTTGACACCAAAATTAGCACGAAATTAGTATCTTTACCCAGAAGTAGTTAATTTTTATTGTGGGAAGAAACCACACACGTGTAATTTTGCAACTTCAATTCTATATAATCATAAAATACTTTAGGACCAATTAATCACAATAATATGATTTTCAAGATATATGTGCCATTGTACATAAAAATCTTGAAACCTTTCGCAATATATTGATCACCAACCACACCTTGTTGTCTTCCGTTCAGCTAAAAGCCTGAATGTATGATTGTACTATCAAAAGTCATCCGGTTCAATCTTCTTTTTCTGAATTCCTAACCCTCGAATTGATAGTAATTAATTAATTTTAATTTTCTATGTATGATTTGTATTAAGATTAAATATTTTTATTATTTAGAATGCTAAAGTATTTCTACTTGAATTTTTTTTAAGAAATATGACAGTAAGGTGCATATTAATTTAAGAATATTTAATAAATCTGAATTTGTACATTGTTAAAATGTTTAAAAAAGTAAAAGTGAAAATATCTTATATAGCAACCCTACATGTGTGTATAAAAGGGTAGATCAATTTACATCAAAATAATACCTACGATTATTACATTATTTAGTAAATTCTATAAAGAAAATGATAATTATTTATTTAAAATACAAAGTTCATAAAAGAAATTCGAACCGAAGAGTTTCTCCGACAAACCGCTAATTATGGATGATGTGACTGATGCTTGTAGACAATGGACATTTCTTTTTGTCCACTTAGATATACCTTTTTTTCCATCTCAATCTATTGGATGACATTAAAATGTGCTTAAATCTCATATTCACATTACAACCACATTGCAAATTAAACATAGTATATACGACATTTTTGTTTAGCACTAATTAATCAACGCCAGCATCAATCAGATATTTTATTATAGTTAGTCAAAACACGATATTTTAAACAGAAGAAACTTGGTGTATACCACAACCCAAGAAAAATCTTCACAGCCTTTAGATTTGTAATGAATGTGTGGAGGGTCTGAGAGAATCATGGGCACTCGTAGACCAATGATAACGCTATAGATGTATGTATTGTATCCTCCTCATGTTGCTGTTGAATCTTGAGCATGAGAAGACATTCACTTCCCCACGAGGCTAGAATATAATCATGATTCTTAGCCTTGAAGATGCATGCATGCCTACAGTAGAGTCCACAGTCACGTGTACTGTGTCGCTGCAAATCAGAACCAAAACCTTGTCATTATCAACCCAGTTTGCCGGCAGCTATGACACCACGTCAAAGGTTTCAACATCCTTCATATTCACCACATCCTTATCTTACAAACTTCTTTCTGAAGATCTTTTCAAAGTTCAAAATTACTTGCAAGTCCCACATCGATTTGTCCATATGCGGACGCTCTGGGTATCATTGGGCCAGACTCTATGACTTAGTGGGTTGAGTCCAGTACACGTATATGATGGACTTGGTTCCTGGCCCATATTCTATATTTGGGCCCAGATTTGTCCTGATTTTTAAGTGTAGGGCAGGAAATTGGAATATGAAGTACTCATCGGGACATGGCAAAAGAAAAAATTTAATCCCAATTCTTCCCTTTCTTTGATCTTCCGAAAAATATTATAAATTTTTGGTAGAGCAATTTATATAAATTTAAATCATATCATTTGTTGACTATTTGCTAATTACGCGACTTCGTAAAATTGAGACTTTTTTATTGTATTTTGTTGATTTTATTTATTGACACAGTGAAAAAACGAAATTTCCTGTTCTTGAGGTAAATATGATTTTAAAACATCTTAGTAAGGTTGCTTAAGAGTACTCTAAATTCAACTTTAACCTTAATATCCTCTCTCTCTCTCTCTCTCTCTCTCTCTCTCTCTCTCTCTCTCTTATTGGCCCACATGTTAAAAAAAACTACTGTAATATTTTAAAATTATTTTTGACTTAATTATATTTTTAATCTTTACATTTTAGTAATCTTTTAGTTTTAATTTACTAAAATATGAGGATAAAAATGCATTTAAATTTTTTTTATTTTTCATAAATAATATAAATGCCTGTTAAGCAAGTATACTAAAAATGCTGTCAGTGGCAGGGTTCACGCACTGTCATTATTGGTGTCGTAATCAGTGACATGACTCACTGGATGTCATTATTACTATGTTCTTAACATAGCTAAACTTTATAGAAAAATAATTTTGGGAGGTTTGTCTGAAGGAAGCTTTCATGGGCTTATCTGAACAGGACTTGAGATTAAAAAATCAAAAGGGATAAGATGTTTATGGTGCAATAGTGTAATTGTCTACCCTCAATGCCACGCGACAGTGACCCTCCCATTTGTGGAGTGGAATTTAGTGCTGCAGGTTTTGGTAAATTTCATCATTCCCCTCCCAATGTCTTTGCACAGTCATGTTTCTTTCCCCTTTTTATTGTTCTGTTAGAATTTACACATCACTACTGTTTGGACTGTACACCAATTTGATTAGACAGAATACAAGAGATTTAAGGAAACCAACGAAAGCATTCATGTTCTGTTTCAATACATAAATGTTTACCAGCATACTTCTATTATCAGGATCAGCTTATACGGACAATGTTATCGTCTGTTGTTAGGTTCACTTTTTAAAATAGTAAGATAAATTATTACATAAGAAAAATAATAAATATTCACTAGATAAAGCTTTATATTTTTAAATATTTAAAATCAATCTGAAAACCTTACATTAACAAACTTATTTACGTATCATTCCCTGTATAATATGACTCACATGAAATTTCTCTAAATAAATGTGCCCTTCATCATTTTGCCTGTACTTCACACCTTCATTGCAACCTACAACGATTTTTTTTTTCTCCACCTAGTTTAACATTACTTTTCAAATATTTAATTTCAGAATATATTAAGCTTCTGAAAAATTGATTCAATCTTGAAGGTAGTTTATAAATTACTTCTGAAATTAAATTTTCAAAAGAGTATTTAATATATTTTAAAATTAATTTATCAAAAGTGATATAAAAAAGTGTTGATGATTAAAAAAATATAATAACCAGAAAAAAAAGTGATAAAAAAAATGTTATTTCACTTTATAGGCTGCAAGCCTAAAACCTGCTGGCTTCGGTTATGTACATACTGCCATGCATGGCTACTACATTTACAAGCCAAGAGCAATTCACATTTCCGTTTATGCTTCCACAAACATTTAACAACTCAAACCAATGTTCATCAATCAACATGTAAATATCGACTACTATCACAAGGCCAAAACAGAATAATAATACAACAAACAAAACCTAGCCATGAAATATGTAATAAATATTCACTAGAAGAAACATCTACAAAATATACATTTATTTTGTTCCAAGTATCTTCAACACGAGCCCAATTTGAAGTGATTCTAGAGTCTTTCAAGCCTCCCCCAATGCCTTCTTGATATCGTTCTGTAAAGGCAACAATGAAATCGGGTGGGTCAATAATTTCAAGTTTCAAGATCGGCACATGCCACCATTTCTCACAAGAAACCATTGCACACTCTTAGTAACGTGAGTTTGTGCTCCCTCCATTCATATCTTAACATCTTAGGCTTAAATGGAAAACCCCATCGTTATTTAAGGCTGAGATGTCAAAATCCAAATGGAATGAGCACAACCTTACTTGGAAATAGAGAGAAAGAGAGAGTACTTCAATGGCAAACGGTGAGGTGGTTGGACCGTATCGCTGGATGACTTGCCCTTCCTTGTCAACCAAAAACTTGGTGAAATTCCACTTTATCCTAGAACCAAGAAATCCAGATTTCTTTGCTTTAAGGAATCTGTAGACAGGTGCGGTATCAGGTCCATTGACGCGTACCTACAAATAAAAAGAAATTTAATATACATGGTTAACAACCCAATGCACTTTTCTGTTTCTTTTTGCTCCAATGGTGACATGAAGGCTTGAACCTGTGGGACTCTAGACCAGGGAAATACCAATAGGGGATCCAAGAAGAGAAAAGGCCAAGTGAAGAAGCACGTAAGCCCATGATTTGGCATGTGCACAGGAGGAGGGATAAGAAGAGAAAGGAAAAATCTCATCTGTAGAGTGCGTTGTGGTTATGGGAGAGGGGATACATGCGTAAGAGGAGAATAGAGGTAGGGAAAGTGGGGTTATGCTTGTGGTTCAGCAGGAGAGAAAATGCTTTCTGCATCTCTGTAAGAAGTGTGACTCTAAGTATTACATGGGATACTCTTCTATAATTCCTATATTCAGTAAACAATACAACTTCTCAGTTCGTGCTTTTGGTTTTCTATCAAAACCTATGACCTCTTGCAAATTATCCATAACACTCACCACTAGCCCAATCTTAGCATCTTTCAAAGCTGCATTTATGAACCTAATATAGAGCTTGAATGAGTTAACAGGGTGCATAACGAAAACCATCTCTAACCAATGGAGGTTCTATGATTTACAATAAACTTAGACTGATCATGTCTGCTAATTATAATTCAGCGAGGGGAACAATCACAGAACATTGAGTCATCGGAAAACAAAAACTAAAGTTTGATTTAGAGAGGCAAAATCAGCTTTAAAACAGTTGCATGTGTAGCAAGGTAAGCAGATGTGTGATCAGTGTAGCAATCTTTTTAGAGAAATGCTACTAATACACTTTTTTCAACATTTTATTATTGGGTGAAATTTAATGACAACTCAACTAACAAAGAGTGAGCTCCACTTATCTAGTGGAGTTCACATGGTATTTCACCCAATGAGTTGAAAAGAGATGCCATGTTTGGATTGATGGAAAGAGTGGAATGAAATATATAGTATACAATCTGAACAAGTTCCATTGTTTGGATTGCTTATATTAGAATGAAATGGAATGGATTCCATTCCATTCAAAACTTCAATCTTTATCTCCTCCCAATTTTGGGTGTATGGGATGGAATCAGAACAATTTTTATTATTATATCTATTAAATTATGTTCTATCCTGTCTCTGCAATCCATCTGCAACAAGTACAGCTCCTTGCTTCATCCCAGCTTTGTTCCTTTTGGTAAGCTAACTTAGATAAGCCCATGCTTAGTCATATCTTCATCATGACTGCACAGTCCAACAGTACATAGAGACATAGCTACCAAGCCTGGTGTTTTTTAATTTGTCACAACCCATCTCCTCCAGCATAATTTCATCCAATCAAACTCTAGTTGCCTGAACCATTGGATCTAGCTTCACGTAAATTATTCATAACTTTTTCTTTTGTTTTTTGGTTCCTTCCCTTTTCCCTGTGTCCTTGCGTTCATATGATTTGATAACATGCAGGCGTACTAATTTGTAAAGCTTAGTTTATACAAACTGTAAATGTTGCTAAGACAGTTAATTTTTAACTTCTCTTTTTTTTTTTTTTTTGATCTGCACCAAGGTATTCTTTAACTGATAATCAAGGACTAATTCTTTTTGAGGTGAAAAGATCATCGGAACAGATACAACCTCTCTCAACTAAGGACACAACCAGTACCATGTCATCGAAATAGACTATTTACTTTTTTATCTTTAAGTCATGTCGATATGATCAACACGGAGCTGGTTACATATACCGTGATTGTGAGGGAAAAGTATGATGTCTATAGCTTCACAGTAGTAGCAAGCTGGCAATTGCAAGTTTGCAACTTCCATGGGAAGTCACCCTAAGGAAATAATGTGAAGTACTGGACCAATGCCTGCCACTGCCAAATATGATAGTTTTACTAGGCATAATTCTTGTTGGCGTAGTAGCATTTGCATGTTTAAACCCCAGTCCTTGCTCTTGGCCAGCGATGCAATACGTGTCTCAGTGTTTTGTTATCAAGCCAACACCGTAAGGCATTCCTTTACATGAAATTTCATTGCAGCAGCGTGAGTCCAGTATTAAAGTATTATTTAGACTTGTCTAGTAACCACCTCTCTGTAATACACTTTTTTCACTCATAGCCAACTCTTTGGTCATACTCAGTAGTCCTAATAATAAAAATTAGAACTAGAATTTAGACAAACACTGAACTTGATCATAGTATTCAGTAGATGCAATAACGAGTTTAACAGAACTAACAGCATGGTTTAGATTCATGCAATATGACATGTTCCATTCTTCCATTTTAAAAATCACTAATTATCACTAACTTAAAAGTTAAAACTACTGGATCAATCTTCATTTGATGACAAAATATAATTACAACAACCAAACCAATTAATCACTTCACCGTTGTATCTAAGACATACATAAAAACAATATAAGTAAAAGGATCCAGATGCACAACGCAAACAACCAGCATCATACCTTTCTAAAAATGGGATACTCAGCCTTGTATCTTGTACAGGCAAATTCCTCTGCCTCCTGGCTGGTCCCGGGCTCTTGCTTTAGAAACTGGTTGCATGGAAATGCCAATATCTCAAGACCTGAGATCAACCAACAAAACATCCTCAAGTTTAATCAACTTCGTAATTTCTTTCAGGCCTTTCACTCTAACTAAGTTCAAAAGTATTTGGTCACTGAAAAAACAAAGTTCCAAGACATGCAACAGCTGCATACCTTTGTCTTTGTATCTGTTGTAAAGCTCAGTTAACTGTGTGTAATTGGAATTCGTAAATCCACTGTGATTTACACCCACGAATTTAATTAGCTAACCCATTTACAATAAAAGAAGAAAGAGAAGGAAAGATTGAATTTTTGTAGAGAAAATGAGAAGAAAGTTGGGTTAGAGAAGAGGGGGAGATACCATTTTGAAGCGACGTTAACTACAAGAAGAACCTTGCCCTTGAAGCTGCTGAGGTCCACGTCTTTGTCCTTGGCGTCCTGTGCCAACCATAACCCATATGATAAGAGATTTCAAAACCAAAATCAAATAATAAAAAAGGGTTTTTTAATTCTGGTGTTGAGATTCTAAGAGATAAAAAAAGTGTGTACCTTGACCGTGAATTCATAGATAGATTTTTCTGAGATTGATTGTGAAGCACCCATTTCTCTTCTTGTCTTCCCTTCAAAGACGGGAAGGGCACAACTTTCTGTCTCCTCGCTTTCCCAATTCGGATGGATGCTAATATTTGGGTTTTTCACTCTCTCTTAAACACTTTTATAGTATTCAACATCTCAAATCTGTTTCAGTAAGTTTGTGGTCCAACAATGGCAGATAGACAGCTTTCATATTTTTGATGATTAAGTTTGACAAAGTTTCCAATTCAACATTGTTTTAATCGATTAAACAAAATTTCAAAATTTAAAACTCGTTATCAATATTTTAGTATTTTATTTCCTTTTCTAACGTAATTTACAACCAGTCAGAATAATCAACGTTGAGCTCGTCCTTTTATTCCAAATTTCCAACTAATAACTGGCCCCTTTGCACCCTGGAATCATGACTTGACATCGTAATTCTGGAAATGGAAGAATAAGAAATAAATTTGATTTCTAACGTAATTCGTGCAATGCTGGTATAATAATAATAATAATAATAATAATAATCACATCTTTCATACGGTGAAGAATTTACTGTCAGCTGAGTTGATTACTAGCAAATGTCATACAGCATACTACCCACTAGGAAATTATTAGTTTCCATTTTAACGGTTAATCACAGTTACACTTCTGTTTAGTGGGAAGAAATTCAATTCCTTTAATCCTGTGTTATAAATATTGTAAACAAAAATTAAAAGAAGAAAATATTAAGAGAACTTTGTTTTAATTTAATAATATTTGTTAAGAGACTTTGAGCGCTAAACGACTTGTAAATAATTAAATATTAATAGTTTTAAACAAAAGGTGCGCACACATATTCTAGTGAGGAAGTTACACCTCATATTATACATATATTTACATCATTTTAATGATTTCCATAAATAGCACCTAATAATATAATAATTAAACTAAATATTGTGTATATTAGCTCCAACTCACTGAACTGTTGGCATAGAGGACAGACAGTCACCTCTGTACTTCTTGATTGTGAAGAAATAAGCCTATCCCAAAAGGAAAGAACGTGACCATAAGTGACACGGAAGGTGGTCCTCACTCTTTTTGAGCTTCAGCTTCGTGATGCAATGATTGGTTGATCTATATATATTAAAGTTCCATTTTTAAAAAATAATATGGACTAACTAAAATTTTTAGACAAAAAATTCTTCAAGTTTTTCTTCACTTCAGAAACAAATTTTCTAAGGACTTCTTTGTTTTACAGTTATAAAATCAATTTCGAACTTCATGATAAAAATATACAATTCTAATTAATTTTACGCATATCTCAATCACATTTAATCACTCAAAGTCAATTTTATCAAAATTAATTGTACTCAACTTTAAATCAAATTCACAGTAAAAAGTACTTTCATAAATTAGAACAGAAAGTCACGCTTCATGATATGGAACACTTGCGGGGATAAACACACCAACTACCTCAATAAATTCTAACCAACCACGAAGTGGCTACAAATGCCCCACGCGTTTTTATGTAGGGCAACGTTTTATTGTCACATGTCAACCACCAAATTACAGGCTGCACTGAACTCAATGCTGTATTGGGGGGGGGGGGAGGAACACAAGTAACTCAGCTAAGAGTTACCTGAGGTAAAGTTTTCGGTGTACTAGGAAAAACAATTTCAAGAAACCGCACTGAAAATTGTTTTATGTATTTTTGTCTAAAATCTACAAGGGCTTCCATGAAATAAATTATATAATCTGAAACAAAAGAATTTGATTTGCTGACAACCTAGAGATAAGTTACAGTTCTTCAACAACTCTACAATGACTTCCTGCTCTGCATTCTGCAGAAGAGGCTGCAATATATATAGATATATACAAATCTAGCAAACTATGACCATATCCTGTGCAGATTCTGCGGAACTCTAATGATTCTTTCTTGCATGTACAGAAAGATGGGATAAAAACCACCTCTTCTAAACGATGACAGGACCCACGCCAAAAAGTGGGTTGTATCTAACATTCATTTGGTGAAATATAAGTAACAATGATACTGATTGTTGAATGATAACTATAGAGGCCTGCTGATTAACGGAGTATGCCAGCCTTCATTTATTGGTTATTTCAGTTCACCTTGGCTGCCAAAAGCTTGGGCCTGAAACATAATTATTATAAACCAAAATATGTTTATAAGTAATATTTCAGAATGTCGAGGAAATGATAAATCGAAAAATAAAGAATTATTCATTATTGATGAAAACCTGTAAACAGAGGGTAAATACCTCGGTTAGCTACATGAATTGGATCTTCGAAGTGTGGTCTAAAAGGCATGGAGCCCCTGTAATTCATTGACTGGGGAGGAAATCTCCACCCATGACCTGGTAATCTACTTGATTCACTTGGATGACAACCATACGGGGCAGGCACACCTTTGTCATGATACCGAGGACCTGAAAGCAGAAACCCCAAGAATGACAATTATTAATACATACACCACCAAAGCAAACCATGCACCCTTTCACCCCAAATATCAGTCACCATCAGTTATCACAGTCTTACCAGAATAAGGAGCAGGAACACCCCATCTCTCTTGGTAATCATATGAAGGTGGATTTAATCTCTCGTGATTGTCATAAACATTCTCTCTCGTCATGTTCTGTGCAAAGTGGTGTCTATTGGAAAATGAAGGGGGTGGTGGGACCTCCCTCTCAGACATCATACGACGTTCCCCATGAACAAAAGAAAACTGATGGGATGGCACATAGTGAGGTGGCCGTAATGAGTAACCTTTATTATGCATTGTCACACCATCAGTATTCCTAGAATTGTCAGGTGGTTGTCCAGGGTAAGTGTTGAAAGAACAAGTAGATTCCGGCATCTGCATCTGCCTATCTCTACATTCATGGACAGTATATTGCACTGCATCGCTGATAGGTTCACTATTTCTTGGCAGAGCCACGGGCTGAGCCATAGGATAAAGTGCATTGGCTTTCACAGGCTGCAAAAATGAATCCAAGCCCAAGTAGAAAAGAGTAAGTTTACAACATGAGTTGTCATTTTCTGCAACTTACAACATGGAGTGCAAAAATCCCAAGCAAAAGTTGTAAAACATACCAGCGAATCTGTAAAACTTTTTGAATCCACTGCAACATGATACTGTTTAGAGGTTGCTGACATGAGGTGCAATGTAGGAGGTGGGGGTGGAGGTAGAGGTAGAGGAGGAGGTGGCAGGGGTGGAGGGGAAGATGGTGGAGGTGGGCATGACAGTGTCACATCCTGTGGTAAAGGAGGAGCAAAGGCCGAAGGAAGATTGTTCTCAAACTGTGTAGCATTTCCTCTTTCAACATTACAAACCGAGTTCAATTCAACATCAAAAGAGGGAGCCACATCTTCCATTTCAAGCTCGCCATCAACATCTTCCAACACATGCCTGTGTTTTTCAATTGCATGTGCTGCTTCTTGCACTTCATATGTATCAGAATGATGCTCAGGCGTGACAGCCTCAAAGTTCCCTCCATCAGAGTCACTCCCTTCATCATCAAGCATTCGGGGCATGCAAAATCCAGGTAGCTGAAAACTTGAGTTGCTGCAAGGCCAAATGCAACTGAAGTAAAAACACTAACAGAGGTACAAGATACAATGACAAAATCAGAATTGTTATGCCAACAAATTCCAACCTTCCATATTCGTCAACCAGCATACCCTCCATATCTCTGACAGGGTCATCAAAAGCCCTCTCTGTTCTTAATGAACGACGTGAGAAGACACCTGCAGAAGCAGAACTGCTATACAAGTCTAACTCCCGGATGTGATGTCTAATAACGGGTTCAGGTAGGATTCTTCTCTCCAACCAAAGCCTTAAAACCTACATAATTGGGATGAAAGCTTAACAAGAATAATGACACAAAAAATAGATGTTTAGAAAGGACTTGAGAGCACATGTTCAACGTAGAAAACAGGAAATTTCATTAACTTGCCTTAAGACACTGCCTACGATTTTCTTTTGCAGCATTTCCAGGAGGAGCAGCAGCAGACAATAGGCGTGGTAGGACAGCTGTCATAGCAGATGGATATACTCCACCAATGTCTCCTGGAAAATCAGATATATTTCTAACATCAACAGATATTAAATACCTATATAATATTCTAATATGTTTACAACATCAACAGATACGCACATATTCTTTTGTTTTTGTTTGCAAAATTAAAGAAGCATCAAGGGATAAGCAATTACCTTTCAGACCTCGAGAGCATTGAGCAATAGAGTCAACAAGAAAAAACAAATCCACCCTCCTCTGCAAGCTTGACTCAGTTTCCAGATTGTGGACAAGAATTTCCACCACCTAGAATACACCCCCATAGCCCAGACCCCCAAAAAAAGAATTCACATATTATCAATAAAAGACATGAAAAGCTTTTATAAGGTACAACAATTTTCTACATGAAATAACCACAAAGTAAATTAGACAGTTAATTTCCAATTAAAGGGCAGACATAGTTATGCTCAGACAAACAAATTAAATAAAGTTCCTCTATGAGCCTGAGATGCCAAAATCTTTCAACCCGATTCACAAATATTCATTTAAATCAAAACATACAGGTGCAAACCTAGTGATACTCAGAAAACACATTAAATAAAGTTCCTCTGTGAGCCTGGGATGCCAAAAGCTTTCAACCTGATTCACACATTTGCACTTTTTAAAATTGTAAGCAATTATATGCAGAGGCCTCAGTGTTCTGCTTAATTGATTTTGACCATTTGGCTCTCTTTTTAATTATAGTAAAAACAAATATTGAGCATTTTGTGAAAGTTGACAATAAGAAAACATGTGGGGGTCTGGGGGGACTCCATTTTTCAATAATAGTATAAATAAATTTGTTTTAATTCTTAATTAGCATCCTCAAGTGATAAAACCCTGTGGGTAAGTGCGCTCTCAGTACAACTTTTCACTATATTCTAAATTCCACTATTTCCCAAACCATATAACTTGATTATGCAAATTGGACCAAAAAATCTTTACAGGCAACACTTATCAACCAATACTTGTGAGTTGTAGTTATAATGATTTTACAAGTACTTAAGCCTCTCTCCTCTCCTATACAAAGACATGTATGCCTACTTTACTTTAATGGCCAAATGAAAAGCAAGCTGAATGATACCCCAAAAAAAATCAAAGAATTTAAAAGACTGGCCCAAAAGATTTGGCCTTTTAATCCCAAAACAAGCATGCAATTTATTATTCAATTATTTGGGGGATGGGGGGAGGTATTCTGGCTAAGGATTCCACAACAGGAACAAGACAATCTTCAAGATCCACAAAGGACTAACGAACTTGACTCCAAATTTTTGGTCTTGCCAAAACCATATGTTCCCCCCACAAGCAATCCAAATTCTACCAAGACACAATATGGTTATCATCATCACACTAAAGTTTCCAAAAGTCAATTTTAATGCATGAAGACACAAATAATTTCCTATCAGCCTTGCATTTATATCCTGAACCTATAGAATATAAAAAAAGCAGAGAAAATAAGGTAATCTTGAAGAACAGGGGCAAATGAGAAAACACAGTTGTTCCCAAGCTCAATATACATACCAATATCCCATTATTCCATCATAGTTGAAACCATACTTCCAATAAATTTTTCAACCATAAGCAAAACTTGAACATTGTGATTAACATAGAAAAAACTAGAATATTTGACATTTTACCTCACTGGAATTCTGCATTTTTCTTTTACACAATAGTAATAGTAATAATAATAATACACCTAATTTAGGTTGCACAAACTCACTGTCCAATTAATACCAGAAGTTGTTAAGTAGATAAGATGTCAATGCACCAAGAGATCATGGGATCAATTTATATTTGTAAGTAAAAATCTAGTAAGTAACCAAGCTTCCAAGGTTAGACTATGAGCTCTCAAGAAGCATAAATTGGATACATCCCTTGACTTGAAAGCTAGTACAATATAATTCCCTTATTTTATTACACAAAAATCATAATGGTCCAAAAAAATCCTAAAAAAGTCATTTGTTATAAGTAAAACAAATCTAAATTAAAAAGTATTCACAATTCAATGATTAAACATTTCCTAAAGGGGCACAAGGAGGAAAATGAAAATTTAAAGTAACATTATACCTTAGTTGCAATGCCAAACTTTCCACAGTCAATAGCAATGCGTGTTGCTCGACCAATACTTTCCTTTGTCCTTGTCAATGTTCCAAGCATAGCTTCAAAGTACAACAAAGCAGCATCTCCGGCTTCAGTTGACTTGCCCACAGATCTTGATTGGTGAATTGCCACAGTCCCACTCGCATCTTTCCAACCATCAACAGGAGCAGATAAATCGTTCTTCTGGTGTACATCAGGGCTACAACTTCCATTTTGAAGGATATTACTACTGTCTGATGTAGAAATATTGCAAACTGATGTATTTGGAGGTGAACCTTGTGGAAGGCAAACCCTGCCATCAGTCAAGGATGGACTTGACAGAATGCCCAAATTACCCTTTTCACCTGAATAATCATTTGATATTGAAACAGAATTCATATCCTCCTCTTGTCCTTTAGATTTTACCTCTTTCACAACCTCATGCCTGAAGAAAAAATAAAATGAGTTTCTTGAATAGAAAAAGATGTAGCATACTTTCATTAAACAATTGTTCGCTTTTCATTTTCATTATCTTTAACAGATTGATAAAAATGTTTATCCTATGCAACTCCATCAAACATACCCCAGTAACTGAATTTGATAGACCCAAATAAAACATGTACAACACAAGGGGTGACAAATTTACCAAAGAGAGTTATAGTGGAAAAGGGTAGCAGAACTTGGACAGGTCACAACCTACAAATGGAGAGGGGAATATGGAGGATTCAGGGCACATGTGGAAAATGATGCGAGAAGGGTAGGAAACAGAGGGGCACAAGACATGGAAATCATGCAGATTGTGGGTTACCGAGCGCTAGTATTCATTTTGAGAAGACAATTCTCTTTTCTGTTTCTTTACTGTTTTTCCTGTGTAAGGAGGTTTAGCTCCATTCACACTCTTAGTTTCAGTGCTGTCTTGAGGTGTTTACCTCCAGCTCATATTTCTGTTTTTTTCTTAATCAGCAGCTGTAGCTATCAGATTTTAAGTTGGAAAACACAACTATTTGCACAAGTATGATCTAAATTACAAACACAAGTTCATCCAGTCAAATTTTCTAATGAACAATATTTATACATAACAGAGAATGAAAAGCAAAAAAAAATTGGGAAGGCCATTATAACTTCTTGCAAATTTGGACTAGCAATTTTGTGAAACCCAAAATATCTCAGCTTGAAAAATAGAATGACAATAGCTTGTTAGTGCTTTGCTCATATGCTATTTAATCTTTAGCTTCTCAACAAAAACTTCTTTCTTTAAAGAAAAATAAAGTTAAATTATATATTTAATCCCTATAATTAACACTCATTTATAAATTAGTATCTATACTTAAAAAAGTTACGTTTTGGTCCCAACAATTATAAGGTGGTTAACAAAAGAAGAAACCAAAACAAAACACAATAATCATATACGGATTAAAATGTAAGCTTTGTTAAGTATAAGGACTAATTCATAAATGTGTCAAATATAAAGACCAAATGTGTATTTTAATCAATTATAATTTTAAAATAATACCAAACACAAACTTAGTTGAGAAAAGACATGTATTATAGTTCAATCTTATCTTCATAACACTCAATTTTTAACTAATAAGAAATTTACTGAATTTTATATTTTACATTTTATCTTACCTTTTAAAAAAATAAACAAAATATCAACTTTAACATTTTCATTATAATTTTTTAATATGTAACTATCTCAATTTGTATATTCTATATTTTTTATATAATATATCAATTTCTATAAAATCTATGATATCATCTTTTTATAAGAAATTAAATATTTACTATATTTGAGATGTGAAATTACATAGTTAGTTTTAAGTTTAAAGGATTAACTTTATTACATAAATGAATTGATAACTTTTCTATCATAATATAAGCAAGCATTTCTCATTATATTGACTCAAAACATCATTAGTTGATCTTTATGATACTTTTCTATCAACTAGATATTTTGTCCATAAAAAAAATATCTAGACATATCTAGTATTCTATTCAAGCATAATAAAAACTCTATCATATGTGAGTTATTCTTAATATTTTATTAAATATAACTTTTTTTATTGATCTATGTATTCACCAAATCAATAAGTTATATATCAATAAATATTTATAACCTTGAACCATAAATCTTTGACTTAAATATGAGTTTTCAATTTCTTAAAAGTTCACAATTCTTTTATTTAGTACCCCATTCTTTATTTTTTCCTAGACAAGTCTACCAAAAATCTTTATTTATCTCCAGTTATAATGTACATTTGATCCTTATTGTTAACATTCATTTATGAATCAGTCTCTATACTTAAAAAAAAATTATGTTTTATTCTTAAACGATGCTTTGTTACATATTAATCTCTATTGTTATGACATTGTTAACTGTAGGGACTAAAATGTAAATGACATGAACTAAAACATAACAAAACACTCATATAAGTACTAAGGCATAATTTTTTTAAGTATAGAAACTAATTTGTAAACTTATCAACTATAAAGACTAAATGAATTATATTATTTAACCCAAAAACAATAAAAGTAATTTTTCATCAATGAACACAAGCAGTAAAAATGCTTTATTTTTTTCATTATTTTTTCTCACTTCAAGGTTACGAGTAGTCAGAAACTAGTAACTGTAGCAAGCTAGAAAAGAAGCTTACGTGTCATTAATTTTGCTGCTATCACCAACTGCTCGCATCATATCCTCACGGACATCCACATTCTGAGGCATGTTAATACTGTTTTGAGGTAACAATTTATCACTTTCACAAGCACATGCCACAGGATCAAGACTCATTCCACCAAGCTCTAATGTATCATCAGATGCATCTGAATGGTTCACAGGTCTGATATTATCATCATCATTTGGTGGCAATGAGGGACTTGGTGAATCTTGATTGCTTCCAACTTGACAACATTTCACATCAAGATCAGGAGAAATTTCTCCATGGAATTGAATCTGTGAATCTATTTTAGCAGGCTGACAAACAATAGAATCACTAAGATCTTCACCTGAGATGACATCCTTTCCAGTTTCATGTCGTTGGAACTTGGCCAACTGCTTATCCACTTCTGTAGATGACTCGTTCTCTATTGGAATAAGTGGATTTGAACAAGTTGTAAAACTACACACACTAACATGAGAACAGTCAATCCCACAAGAATCCAATTCTTGCAGTTCTAAACCATTACCTCCATTATTAACAGTTATACAAGGACAACTCTTGATGGCAGATATACAGCATGATGATTCCATACAAGCTTGACCTTCTTCAGCAACATTGGCAGACATGGCTTCTAAAGCACGATGGATGCGTTTGGATGGGGGTAAAGCAGCTTCATCATCTACAGAGCAGCCAAACATTTCATCTTTCTTAATTTTACAAATCCAAGACCCATTTTCAGAACATCGAGCTATTAAGTTAGAAGGGGAAACATTAACCAAAGCTCCATTCAATGCTGATGAGTCTCCTTCTGCAAGGCTACCATTTTCACAATTTGAAGATGTGATTATCTGCTTTGGCAAGTCAAAAATATCTTCCTTGCCGCTTTTCTCCTGAACATGTACAATGCCACTGAGCTCTGCCACTTCGGATGATTTACCCATTCTAACTCTGGCTCGTTTCAACAGGGGCAAGTGTTCATCTCCATCTTGGTCAAGGCATCTCTCTTTTGAATTTCCACACATTTTCTGCAAATTTTGACTGGCATTTTGAGCACCAGCATCATTAGTTTCCTTCTTCTTGTTTGGTTTTCTTTTCTTCTTGTTGATTACAGTCTCAGACTGTTCAAGTTTTAAATTAGAATCTATTGTGTTTCCCTCACTTAAGCTAAAGGCATCAGAATTTATTGTAATAATTTCAGAATCATTGTCCTCCATGCTACCATTTGAGGCAAAGCCAGATGAATCAGTATCATCACAACCAAAAAAGTCAGGTGATTTCTTGATACGTTTACTCCTTCTTATTGACGTATTCTGAATTGCATCAGTTGATATGTTACCATCACTATTGCCACCATCACTACAAGATACAACAAAGTTTTGGACCCGTAATGAGTGTCTATACCTATGAACTGGTGCATTGCTCTGGGTTCCTAGAAAAGGTGATTTTACAGTCCCAGTTGCAATAGCATTGCCAGTAGGTTCTTCCAATGAAGCCTCTACATTATAAGATTCATCCCTCGGTTGTGCAACAGTTGAGTCCTCCTCAGCCGCACAAACTAGCTCAGGTCTGTCAATCATAGAATTTGAAGATTTCATTTGTGAATGAATTGTCAAAGGAGCATCCATCTGATCCTTTAACCCTATGTTCACAGATGGATCAAGTGGATTTGACACATTTGCAATAGCAACTTCACCCCGAGAGCTAGTGTCATCAACTTGATTCTCTCTCTTTAATTTTTCATAACTTTCAATAATCTCATTTACTGCACGAACAAAATCAGCACCCCTTCCTTGACGTTTGACAAGAGACTGTTTCTTCTCTTCAGTAAATGCTTCCACATCAGCAGGATTGCAGAAAGCTCTACAAAGCCAAAACCATTTCAAACTAAGGCTACGTGCAGGCTGAATAAAATTCAGGCTTGTACGTGGGTGAATAACTAAATATTAAGAGAGAGATTCCACATTGCAGCACAGTTACAAAAAGTCTTACATAAAGCAAATGCAGTTGATCGATAAATAACTAAATGCTATGAGAGAGATTCTGCATTGCAACACAGTTATGCAAAGCTTAACTTAAAGCCAATGCAGTTAGACAAAAATAATATTATTTAAACCATGCCCATTAAATCATATCATCAACGAAGAAATCAAAATTCAAATTTCAACACCTATTATTCTTTGCCTTCAAGTTCGTGTTAATCACTCCGTCCCCTTATTAAGTATGAATATTGGATTGAATATTAAGTCACATCATACCTTATTTAAACATAACCAATCTTGTTGGTATGTTTTCTCTGACATAGAGAGATATTGTCTGCATTTAATTCATATTTATTTCCCTAGTCATTACCTGTAATTCTTTCCTTATTTGTATTTGTCATCTTAATTGTAGTTATCAATTTTCTTTAATTATAGGAGAAAGTCTATCATACATCTTGTATACATATAGGAGATACGCAGTTTTCATCTAATCAAATATAGAAAAATTATTCCAGAACTTCTATCACTGATTGTATCAGAGCCCTTACAGGAGCTCTAGTGCAACTGTCCTTCCATTTTTTCTAAGCTAAAGGCCTTCATTGACACTGCAGTCCCATTCATTTAGAACCTTCCAAAACAAATAGTCAAATTTCAAAGTTGCAAAATTTGGGGATTGTCGTACAAAAATGGATGGCAAAAATTATTTTAACCGCAGACAAGATTAGTGAAGCTAGCTTTAAACGGGAAGCAGAGACTTCATCATCTCTGAGACAATCAACCTTAGTGTAATGATAAGAAGTTCAAAACATGGGATGTAGAAGCATAGTAGTCAATAGCGGAAATAGCGGCCGCAATCGCGGCAGAGCGGGGCGGAGCGGCCCTTTCCCGCGACGGCGACGCTGTCGCGTCGCGTTTCACAGTAGCGGCTGTCGCGCCGCGATTCGCGGCGGAAAACACCGAAAATAGCGGCTGGAGCGGCCGCTATCTCATTCTCACGCGTTTCCCCTTTTTGCCCCTCATCTTTTACCGTTAGGGCCCTTTAAGGGGGGGCAATTTTGGAATTTCGACCCCCCCTTATTTTTCTGAATCATCTTCTTCAACCCTAGCCTCCATCAGTCTGCTCTCCTCTCTTCTCCCGTCGGTTCTCTCTCCTTTGTTCTCGGTTCTCTCTCCTCTGTTCTCGTTTCTCTCTCCTCTGTTCTCGCTTTTCTGGTCATCCTCTGTTCGCTGTGCTCTGTTTTTCCGGCGAGACTTCCACTTGATTTTCCGGTCATCTTCTTCGTCTCCGGCAAGCTTCTAAGGTGACCCAAATTATTTTGAGTCATTTTCTTCATCTCTTCTCATCTTCTTCAAGGTCAGCACAACTTTCCGGTCATCTTCTCCAACTCCGGCAGACTTCCGGCAAACTTCCGGCGAACTTCCGGCGAACTTTCCGGTACTGAACATTTTTTTTTCCTATATTTTTCTCTGTTTTTTTTTTCTCTTCTCTGTTTTGATTCTTCTATTATTTTCTGTTCGAAATTTCAAAGCTTAAAGAAGTAATGGCTACTCCTCCCAATCTGTCACAAGGAACCGGCTCTGTTTCAATTTCATCCTGTGCATTAGTGAAGCCTTCAGGAAATAATTTGGATATAGGTTGGCAATGGAATAGTTTAAAAGACATAAATAATAAAAAGTCTGTTACTTGTGACTTTTGTGAAAAAACGACTACAGGCGGTATTACCCGAGCAAAGAGGCACCAAATGGGAGTGAAGGGAGATGTTGATAAGTGTCCAAGGATTCCCAAAGAAATAAAAGAAACACTAATAGCAGCTTATAAGAAGAAGAGAATTGAAAAAGAGGTATATTTACTTCAGCATGATGAAGATGATGATGATGAAGAAGAGGTGCAAGAAATTCAAAATATTCGTAGTGAAAAACAACCTGCAACCTCAAGTGTTGCATCAGTTTATGTTAGTGGTTGTAATGCCACCAAAAAAGGAAAAAATGTCAAGGGCCCATTGGATTTATTATGGTTAAAGAGTACAGAAACAAGCATCAAATTAGCAAAATCAAAAAGACAAACAAGTATAAATGATGCTTGTGTCAAAGAGGCAAGAGCAAGAACAGTTCAATACATAGAGCGATTCCTTTGTAGGAATGGAATTGCTTTCAACGTTGTGCGCTCAAAAAGTTTCAAATTAATGGTTGAAGCTATTGGAAACTATAGTCCACATCTAAAGCCTCCTAGTTATCATGAGTGTAGAGTTTCTCTTCTTAAAAAGGAGTTAAAGTATACAAAGGAAATGTTGAAAAGTCGTGAAGAAGAAAGAGAAAAATGTGGATGTTCAATTATGTCAGATGCGTGGACGGATAAAAAAAATAGAACATTGATCAATTTCTTAGTAAATTGTCCAACTGGTTCTATGTTTGTAAAGAGCATTGATGCATCTGCTTATATGAAAACTGGAGAAAAGTTGTTTGAGCTCTTGAATAGCTTTGTTGAAGAGATTGGAGAGAAAAATGTTGTGCAAGTAGTTACTGATAATGGAAGTAATTATGTATTAGCTGGTAAGAATTATTCTTAACTCCCTATATTAATTTCAGTTACTAATTATTTTATTAGTTTCTAATTTTAGACTATGCAATTTAATTTTAGGTAAGTTGTTGCAAGCTAAAAGACCACATTTGTTTTGGACTCCATGCGCTGCACACTGTATTGACTTGATATTAGAAGACATTGGAAAAATACCTAGAGTCAAGAGAACAATCCAAAGGGGAGTTACTCTTGTGGGTTTTATTTATAATCATTCATTGACTTTGAATATTATGAGGAAGTTCACCAATAAAGCTGAATTGGTTAGATATGGAGTGACAAGGTTTGCCACAACATTCCTCACATTACAAAGGTTGCATAATAAAAAAAACAACCTTAGAAAAATGTTCATTTCCGATGAGTGGTTAAAGTCCAAAACAGTCAAAGAAGCTAAAGGAAAAAGGGCAACAGACACTGTACTTATGCCTTCTTTTTGGAATGATGTGGTTTTCTGTCTTAAGGCTATGGGGCCACTTGTGCAAGTTTTGAGACTTGTTGATAATGAAAGAAAGCCTGCAATGGGTTATATATATGAAGCAATTGATAGAGCTAAAGAAAGCATTCAAAATGCATTCAAAGGAAATGTAGACAAATATAAGGAGATTTTTGCTATAATTGATAGAAGATGGGAGTGTCAACTTCATCATCCATTACATGCTGCAGGTTATTATCTGAATCCTCAATTTTTTTATAGCAATAAACAAATTGAGAATGATCCTGAAGTTGTGGAAGGCTTGTATAAATGTATTGAGAGACTATGTACAAGTGAAGATGATGTAGACAATGCTACAGTTCAATTGTCAACATATAGAAGAGCTGAAGGTCTCTTTGGTTTAAGTGGAGCAAAAAGACAAAGGGCTACAATGGCTCCTGGTAAGAGATTTGTTTAATTTTTTTATTGTAATGTAATTATGTAGATATAACACAAAAGGTTAATAAGTTGATGCATAACTTGCAGCTGAATGGTGGAAGAATTATGGAGTACGTACACCACATTTACAAAATATTGCTATTAGAGTGTTGAGTTTGACTTGTAGTTCATCTGAATGTGAACGAAATTGGAGTACTTTTGAGCACGTAAGTAAATATCTGAATCCTCAATTTAAAGTTCTTTTATGAAAAGTGAAAATCTAATATTTTTTTTTTATGGTAAAATAGATTCATTCTAAAAAGAGAAGCAGACTTGAGCATCAAAGGTTACAAGACTTGGTTTTTATTAAATATAACCAAGCTCTTAATGAACGTTTTGAGTGTTCTGACGTGGTGGATCCTATTATCTTAAAGGATGTTGATGATAGTAATAATTGGTTGCTAGAAGGAATAGCTGGAGATGATGAAGATGCTGTAGATGAATTAGTGTTTGATGATGATAACTTGACTTGGGGAGCTGTTGCTAATGCAATTGGGGCTAGTGAGCCTATAACCTACACTAGGCAACAAGCTAAATCAAAATCCAAGACAACTACAATTGCTTCTTCATCTAAATCTAAGGGAAAAGGGAAAGAAATTGTACAAGAAGAAGAAGAAGAAGAAGAATGTGATGACGAAGACTCTGAAGAAGAGGATGAGGAGGAGGAGGAGGAGGAGGAGGTTCTTTACAAAAGTAGTGATGAAAGTGAAAATGAAGAGGACATTGCAAATCTTGGAGATGAAGATGATGATAATTATTAAAATATTTGTATTTGAATTGAACACTTAGTATTTTTAAACATCTAAGCATTAGAGACTTAAATTTAGTTAGTTAAATTTATTTTTATATTTTGTTGTTACTTGTTATTGACATCTAAGCATATATATATATATATGTGTGTAATTTAATTTATGAGTTTATGAGTATATTTATAATACCTAAAATAGCGGCCATCCCGCTATCCGCTATGCCGCTATAGCGTTTTTGAGGTCGGCCGCTCCGCGCCGCTATCCGGGATTGACTACTATGTGTAGAAGGTACTATCATCATAACCTGGCTGCTGAACTCAATGCTGGTTAAAGGCATCTCAGAATTTTATGTTACTTAAGACACAAAAAAAAGGGGAAACAGTCCAAAAGAATTGCTTGTAAGCCCCAGATGTTGCTACAATCTACGAGTTAAGACAAGGCTTGTTCATATGAAGCAAGGCAAGTAGACAACCTTTTCAGTTACAGAATATTTCAATGTAAGAACAGTTTATAGCAGGCAACAAACTTGTTTGGAATCTGGAACTGAAATCAAAAGAAGCTAATCAAACTCTTCCATAGGTGAGGGAAAGAGCTCGAGTTTTTTCATTCCTGCCTGGTCAAAGCATAGATTTTGATCAAGTTCATGTCCAGACTTTTGGAAGAGCCTTATCAAGCCTAAATGAGACCATCCCACTGTCCAAGGAAAAGAAAGACCATCCTGTAATGATGGATTATACCTCTTCCCCTCAATCCAACAACACGGATTCAGTTTTCACAGCTGCAGAGAGGAGAACTAATGAAAATGGTCCATACCAAGACCAAGCAAAATCCTGAACCAAGGGAATCTGTGGTGTACTCATTGCAATAAAACAAGGCACAGCAGGAAAATTTGAAGCGCATAATCAGAGGCAGAATGAAGCTGGTTCTACAGCCCAGAAAAGAAAGCAGAACCTTTGAATTTGCATAAAGTTGATGTTCAGTGATCGGTCCCTCTACAAAGAAGGGATTGAGAAGCTGTGAAAATTTCTTGAAACTTAAATAGCCAACTCTGGCTCTATAGCTCATTCAGGCAAGTACCCTTCCTGCATACCGCATTCACCTACTCACTTACCTTGAACCAAGCTAACTTTAAAGTAAGCTTGTGACAACAATGTAAAATGTGAGAAATCAAGTGTCTATATGAACCGTACATTAATACCATGTTCTTGGTAACTATTTTAAGACTAATCATACAGCCATGAGTCATAGATCATAAATTTAGCTGTAAATGACCACATGAACCACTCCTCACAAATTTTTAAAACCTACAAGCCTAGTTCTACTAATTAGTCCATCTTTGCTGCTGCTAATGAAAAATCCATTATAGTTAAGGGAAAGTGAATTATTGATCTCTGAGGTCTCACCAACACTTTCATTAAAAAATGCCCTTCACATTCTAAAAATCTCCAACAATCTAATCTCTATTAATGGAGCAAGATGATTCATATCCTTCATTGATGATTGTACAAGATTAATTTGAGGTGAAGCAATGCCAAACTTCAAAATCTCTTTCAAACAAAAGCCCTTTATATGCTCTTCTAAGCCATTATCTGATCTACTTCTTTAAACACATTGCACTGAGAATTTTTGGTTGTCCTCATATTCATAAACAGCAATTGTGACAGCAAACTTGGTCCCTAAGCCCTCAACTGTGTGTGTTTACGATACTCCAATGTCTAAGAGGGGTATACAGTATATACATTTCCATCGTCCTACCATTAAAATTCTGTTTCTATAGATTTTTTGAATCTCTCCCATAATATTCATATGTCAGGAGGAGAAGTCTCATGATGTTAAACAACTGTTGTTATCTAACTTAACAGTAACTACTTTACTCATATCCTTCCACCCTCCAATCTTCCATCTGATTGTCAAACTACTCCCTATTCACCGAAACTAACTTAGTTCATTCCTACATGTTCAGGAAAACAAAAAAACAGAGCCTACCTCACAGTCCAAAGAACCACTAAAAGTGTACTTGAGGAGAGGAAGTCCAGACCTATTCGATAGCATGCTCAATCATTGGATTTGACTTTTACTGAAGCCCACAGAGAATCATCAGGATGGAACCCAAATCTAGTCCTCTTTTTGCTGATACCTCTACTCTAGGTAAGAAAAAATCCTCGTTACATGTTGTGCAGAATTCTAATCTTCATCTATCCATTGCTGTAAGAAAAGGCAAAAGAAGTTGCACCCTACACTCCATATCCCATTATGTATCTTACGACAATCTTTCAAACAGAAGATACAACTCCTTCTTGCTAACCTTAAACACCATAACTTATACTATGACCCAATAGAAAGTTATCAGTAGAGAGCGTATGGATGTTGACTAGGAAGGATTACTAGTTAATCAATTCTGTTCACAGGATACTGCATCTTTATCAGAGTAACTATGTAACATGGAGAACAAATGCGATGTAGTAGCAAGATCAAGTGCAGAATTCTAGATTTTTGAGTTACTGTGGTTACAGATAATTCTGGATGATTTTGGGACTGAGAGAAGAAAGGTCAAAGAACCAGAATTGTGACAAGTCAGCAATGAGCCTTGTATATAATCCAGTTCCCCATGATTACCCAAAGCATTTGGAGATTGATAAGCATTTTTTCAGAAAGCAACAAGTTAGCAACTGGTATAATTGACCTCCCAGATATTTAATCAGAAGATCAAATAGCATATGTACTAATTGAAAGGCCACTAAACTAAGAATTTTCAGAAGCTAATTAGCAAGCTGGGACTAAAGGACATGTACGTGCCAGCCTGAAGGAGAGTGTTGCAATAACTTCTCTAATTTGGAGATATTGTCTGCATTTATTTCCTGATATATTACTTGTCCATTCTTAACTTATTTATACTTGTCAACTATCATTAAGTAGAATTCTGTCACTTTGATTGTAGTTACCAATTCTCCTTAGTTGTAGGAGAATGCCTCTGTTCCACATCTTGTATGTGTGTGCACACGCACACATAAGTAGTTTGCCCCTAATCAAATATGGAAATATTTCCAGAACCCTTATCATTCAAACCTTATTTTAATATTTAAAACAATCAACAAAGAAGTGAAAGAACTAGCAATTCCCAAATAAATTAATAATCCTCCTCTTTAAATCACACAACATAATAGGTTATGAGGATCTCAACACAAGATAAAAATTAAAGCCTACTTTATGATCAACCACTTTAACTCAAGAAGTGAAACTAACATAAAAATGGAGATATATCAATATGACAATATTTCCATATTAGATATGCACATACACCAAAATTTAATATTCTCACTGCATGTTCAACCAGCTTATAACTTCCTTGGGTATCAACATAATAAAGAACTGGAAAAAGTTCCAAATTAGATTTAATGAGCTTAAGAATAGGCAGAGACAGTGCTAAAGGAAGGATGATAGTGGGAACATAGTAAGAAAGTTAATTGAGGATGTCCATTTTTTTAGGGAAATAAAACAAACATAAAACCCATACAACCGCATTCAGTCTCTGTGAATAGGATAAACAACAAAAGATTAAATAAATCAAGAATCCAACCTGTAGCACAGAGGCAGGACAGTTATTAAAGACAACAAAGAGACAAAGGACCGAGCAGAAACCAAAACATTTGGGTTACGAGAATTTGCAATCACAAAGCCTAACTAGGGATCCAGTATAGAAAACATTTCTATCCAATAAAAACACTAGAAGCACTACTCTCTAATATGAACCAAACACCCCTGTTTCGGTAATTACACATACAAAATTAATTTTATCAACTCTTTCAAAAATCAAGTATCAAAATATAGTCCAAACAATAGTGTGTTGGCAACATAACTCACTCCACTGCAATATGTGACAAACATTAATCAAATCCCCCCATAAAAGTAACTGACATAAGAGCCATTAGCATTCATTTTTTTCTCCCTTCTCTGCAGGTGAGAACTAAAAAGCTAAAACAGACACTACAATAAGCACAAATATGTATGGTCTGATTCTCACAAGAACCATGCCCTAAAGGTAAAAACTTATATATGCACAAAACTTGTAACTACTATTATCAACTCAAACTACAGAGAAAAATTATCAGAGAACAAAATCTTTTAAATATGACTAAACCAATAATACATACATGCCATAAAGGCACATTAATGGAAAACAACAGTCAACAGGTATGTCCTCAATTAGCATTATCGTCACAAGTGGACTACAATAATTGAAGCCATCAGGTTTTTTACTTTGCATAAAAAATATTGAAATATACAATGTACTCCCAAGTAATCCAACCGTTCACCTTGACATATGAATAATCAAGTTGTACTCAAAAAACCAGCAGTACAAAAGGAAAATTACTTACTAACACCACAATCTCTAATAACTTTACAGCAAATACCAAATCAATGACATATCAATAAGAATGCCACAGTTAAACCTTACGAATTACAATGTCCCTAGGTGAAACAACATGATGTTATTGCTATCACATATATTTGTTTTGGGATTTTTTTCATGTACATTCAATTCCATAAGTTACACAGCACATCATTGCTACAGGCATACTAACAGCAACACAATCAAATGAGACATGGATTGAATACATACATTTGTTGGGTACCAAAGAAGTAAACAAGCACTTTCTTCCAATCAGCAGTGTAACCCCACTTCTCTGGTTCACTTACCTGCCCCCAGCGAAAGAACTTAATCAGCCAAACAAAATCTCTATAACATACAAAAAGAAAAGAAAATTAAAAAAAAGTGGCCATAACAAACCTATAAGCTATATAGGACCATAGAAATATCAAAGCAAGGCTCTGGGTTGTATAACCTAGGGCCTCTGGTCTGTTACCTTTTCCATCCCCGTTCCTAATCAAAGATTTCCATAGAAGCCTTCCGGCCCGCTTAAGTTATCCATTAAATATCTCCACAAGAATATCATTTAAGTACACCAATGCCCAAGTAATATCAAAATACAACGGCACAAACTTAAGATAAGAGATATCAGAAAATCAAGGTTAGACCCAAGAACTTTAAATTAAAAATATATATTAACCAAAGAAAAAATCATCCCCAATTCATAAATTAACACCAGACAAACCCTCTACACTACACCAAACCATGGTTGAGGGAAAATAAAGTATCATGCAACACAAGGGGGTACTATTCAACAATCAACCCAAAAACAAAAGCCTTTACTAAAAGTTAGCTAGAAAGCTAAAAGCACCCACCGTTGCAGGCCAGGGAGGGAATCCCTTAACCTTGGCAAGCACAAGATCGCCAACCTTCCATTGCCGGCATGCAGCGGCTGCTGCTGCCGCCGCCTTTTTCACGGCCTTCCTACGACTAGGCGGCATGACAGTAACCGAAAGTCAAATAATAGTGAGCGATTGGTACGGAATCGAAGCGGAGAACTCAACAGTGCACCAAATTCGCTCAACAAATGAACGGATTGGCACAGTTGGGAAATTGCAGAGAGAAATAGAATTAGGAGGCATTGGGGAAAACCCTAATTGGGGAGAGAAGAAGAGAGAGTTTGAATTGAAATGACATGAGCTGGTTTGGTGGTGTGGAAGAAGAAGTTGCTGTTGTTGTTGCTGCAGCAGTGTTGTTTAGGGTGCGGAGGAGCTGAGTATGCATTCATACTCCCGTGAAGTGCGCTAATGTGCGCCTTGTGTGTTTAATTGTCTTTCATAGTTTAATTGGCTCTTCCAGGTGACCCCCTGAACTAAACCTAGTTTTCTACCTTATGTGAAAAATCCATTAATAAGGAAGAAATTACCATGGCTGACTTGAAGTATGAGGCATTTAAACTTAATATAATACTGAATTAATTTGGAGTCTTTCTGGATAAGGGTATTGATTACTAATGTTTTATTAAAAATTATGTAAAAACAAAAATCGTAAAAACAGTTAATAAATATTTTTATAAAAATTTTAATTTAATATATTTTTAATATGCCTTTTAACAAAAATCATATTTTTAATAAATTTTTAATCCTTGATTTTTCAATTATTTTCCTAAAAAAGTTATGCAAATGACACGTTGAGTGTCAGTCATTTATAATAATTTTGGTCAAGTGTTAGTTTCTTTTTACAAATCAATCACTGTAATTTTAATTTACGGAATGTGATTATTGGTTAAGAATTTGTTTATGTAAGTTTTAAGACATGTTAGACCGCATTATTTTTCATTATCATACTCTATTATAATTTTCTTGTAAATTATAAGTAATTTAATATAGAAATTGTTTTTACCTTTTTTCTGTAATTCAGTTGTTTTAATAAAAATATAAAATTAAACTCAACTTTATAATAAAATGATTGTTCTTGTTTACTGAGTGTGGATGTTGACGGAATGCTCGGAATTTGTGACCTAATTAAATTTAACATCAGTTAGTTTCAACAATTTTTTTCTTTCAAAATAAGCATTGAGATGCGTAATTTCACATTTAATATAACAATAAATATTATTTCTAAATTATATATAACATTTTTCTAAAAAATATTTATAATAATTCTCTAAAAATATACTTCACCCTTTCTTTTTTAAAATCAAATTATATTTTTTTATACTTTAAATATAAGGTAATATTTTATTACGGTAATTAAGATAAAATATTTTATTTACATGTTATATGATATTTTTCTAAAAATACACTTCACTTTTAATTTTTATTTTGAAAATTATAAAATATTTTTAAAATATTTAATTTTTTTACACTGTTAGTTTATTAAATTTTACATTGTTAACTAATTAAAATATATTGTTAAATTAATTTGTATTTTATATAAAGGAAGTTATTCAAAACACATTGACATGTGAATTTTAATTTAGTCATTTTAAGTTAAATTGAATTATAATTCGTCAAATAAAATATATTTATTAGACATTTTTATAAAATTTAATCAATTTAATCCAGTTATGTGCATTAAATGCACAAGTTAAAGAATATTAAATGCACACTTTCTAAGTCTTTAAATATTTTGGTTTAGACTTTTTAACACTTTAAATTGTTTATAAATAAATATTAATTTTGTTATAAATGTAAAATTATTTATAATTTTACTTAATATAACCAAACAAATTATATATTGTATGCATTTGAGTTAGTTTGTGGTAATAAGTAAACCTTAATAAATTTGCCTAAAAATATTTAAATTTAATTTAGATTCATATAAATAATATTTAAAATAAGAAAAGTTGAATGTTTTATAAATTTATTTTGAGTCTTAATTAATTTTGATTTAAAAATACATATTTAATTTAAACTTAAAATTTAAACATACATGCTTTGTTTCCCACTTTACATATAATAACAATAAAAAAAAAACTTAAACTGGATAATTTAAAAAAAAGATGTTAAAACATGACATTAAACAATTTATTTTAGGTAATTAGTAATTATAGTTTTTTATTAACAATGTATAATTAATAAGACTCTTTATCCTATTTTAATAATTTATATTTATTTATATGAAAATATTTTATTTAATTAATAATTATTCTATTAAAATATATTTATGTTATAAATGATTGTTTATTGTTTTTTAAATAAAATATTTACATAATTATTCTCTTTCAAATATGTAACATATATATTTTAAAATTAAAATTGAGTGAGTTATATATTTATTATTTTTTTAATGAATTTGAAAATTAAGATTGCTATTTAAAATTTTCTTATTATCTTATATAAATTTGTATATTTTTTTAATACATATTTTTAAATATTTTTTTAGATTAGAGTTTACTTTTAAAATTTTTTAACTCTTAAATTTATAGTTATAAATATATTAATTATTCACACTTAATAAAAATTTAACATTGTAGATAAAAATATTATTTTAAAATAAACTATATTTTAAAAGTATTTAATTTTATTACATTTTTATATTTTAATTATGGCATATGATATTAGTCAATTCTTTTGTAAAGGTAAGTAAACAACATTTTTTTATTCAATTATTGAGTGTATATAATTAATGACTATAATAATAGAAAAAAAATATTTATGATATGAAAAAATAGGGCTTGTAAATTAAAAACTCTGTTTCATAGTTCTTCAATTATTTAGATTCAATCTTAATTTAGTTTTCTAAATCTCTATGACATTGAGTTCAAACATTAAAAGATACAAACAATTTTGTTTTGGTTTATAACATAATAAAATAAAATGACTCCCTTATATGATATCATAATTTTTATTATCAATTTGATATCAACTAAAATAAATTTAATATCTTTGCATTTTTAATATTTCATTTATTATAAACATAATTCGAGATAAATAAAAAGACACTAAATATTTAAATTTAAAAGGAATATATATTTATAATTTTTTATACTACCATCAATAATAGATTATTATATAAGTAGTATGATAATTAATTAAAAATTTATATCTACAATATATTTTAACTAATTTATAAGAAATAAGTTATTCAACTTAACGTGCCTCAAAATTACTCATTTTATAAATTGATATATTGTACAAATGCAAAATATAGTTTAATTTAAGCCAAACATTTGAGAAATAACAAAAATGTTTATGTATTTTCACATTTAAAAAAAATTAAATACATTAACAATGTAATATTTTTTTATTGCTACTTAATTATATACTATCATGTCAATGTAGATCATTGACTATGATAATAATAAATTTAAAAAATATAATAATTATTATTTTTATTAGTTAATTTTTTATATTAACAGTATTTTAAAAGTATTTAAATTACATTATAATATACTATGTCAAAAGTTGAGGCAATTATATTATTTTTGTTTAAATTAACTTTTCATGTATACAGTGTGTGTTAATTATTTTCATCATGTTAATATAAAATGATCAGTTTACAAGTATTTTTAAGAAAATAATTATTTGTATTCAAAAAGTGAAGATAAAAAAAATGTTTGGAAATTATTATCTACCCTTTAAATATGTGTAATATTTCATAGAATAAAAAATTAATAAGTTTTTTTAAATGTAATTTTTAGCAGTATAAATACATTAAAGTTTGTAATTTTTCAATAAAAATGTATTAAATTTAAGTTTTTTTGTGTAGACACATATATGTTAGTGAAAATTCAATGTAAAGTAAAATTAAGAAGGACTTTAAATGAGAATAGAAAAAAATTCAATTTTAACTTATGGTTACAGAATTGTTATAACCTAACTGGTTTACATTACTAAAGTATTCAGTTTATAGTTATTGGGTTATAAATATTTAATACTAATAGTTTAGAAACAAATAATATAAAAATATTTTCTTATCGTTTTTTACTGGGTGTGATCTAAATAAGAACTTAAACTTTAAAATTTTTTAATATATTTTTTAACAGCTTTGAATTATGCACATTTTATTTATTAGATGTAATAGTTATTGGCAATTGCCACGCTTAAGAGAGTTTATTAATTGCTTGAATTCACTACAAATCATAAAAATTAAAATTAAAATTTCAAATCAAACTAATTAAAAATAAAACATACAAAATAAATTATTGAATTGAATCAGATTCTAAATCTAAGTTTGAGAATCAACCAAATTCTATTCAAATTGAACTTATGTGTATACATGTAATTTTAATTATAAATTTATACTTATAATTATATATATTTGTTAAATTATAATACTTAATTCTTTTTTTTATGATTTTACACTCGGAATTGTATCTTATTATTTTAATGTGTTTATAAGTTTATCTTTATAAATTGTTTTAAAGTTATTGTTGTGTCTCATATTTTTTACATTTAAATAAAAATATATAAAATAATTTATTTATCATTTACCAAAATAAAATTAAAATATAAAAATAAAATCATTGAATTAAACTCAAACTGCTTTTAAAAATATTCATTTGCCAAATATAGTAATTAGGTCAGTTCCTTCAACCTCAAAGCATGCCCATTGGAAAATAAAAAATAATATGGAATTCTATGAATGTCAGTAGTTAACTAATAATAATGCTGATTAAATCCTTACTTTTGCAAACTGCAAAACGATCACTAGATGAACTTAGTTAGCATCTTGTTCTAAAATATACCTTTTAAAAAAAATTGTGCTAAAAATGTAGGGTCTATTTACTTTTCTTTTTTCTCAAAACCATTTTATATTAGGAAAATATATAAGTATTTTTTAATTTTAACTTTTAAAAATGAGTCTTAAAATTTCTGTGTTTGAAACGAGAACAAAAAACAACTTTTGAAAGTTTTCATTTTTTTTTTCATAGATAAATTGACACGAGTAGACTTTAAATTGAGTTACTAACATTTTTTTTTTCATTTTTTTATTTACAAAATCTAACAAGTTGCTAACATTTTGACTAACCTCATCACCGTAGAATTCACCATAAACTGAGTCTTCTCTCTCAACACAAAACAAATTAAATCATCATAAATTACAAGCATAAAAATGAACCCACAACTATTCTCATTATACCTCACTTTTCTCTATAGTAGTGATGTTAGAATCTGCTGGTAGTCAACATCTTGCAATGGTATAGCCTCTTTCTTCGTGTTCAGCTTGAGTACTTTATTGTCACCCTGAACTACCACTGCCGTCTAGTACTTGTTAAGCCACTATCATTGTCATTCACACACACACTTGGGTTGCTATGTTGTGTGAAAAAGTTGT